GTAATTTAACAACTAGAATTAGGGATAAAAATAGGGTAACATTTTAACAATGGTGTCAGTTGGATTGACGCATTTCTAGCACCACTAATTAATGATTTGATTATTTTGATCGCGAAACATTAGACGTAAGTAGGTGGGGGGCGAGAGTTCTATTTCCATTTCACTAGGTGTGCATCGTAACGAAAAGGAAATAAAACATCAGCAACTATATTACATTAACAATATAAGGCACATGTGGAACAGATTTCAATCTCGCGCAAATTTAACTGCGGTAAATTCGCGAGAGCCGCATACAATGGCACTTGATGGCGATAAAGCCCCGGTATTATCAATCACAGCCGATGCGCATTGCTCGACTTCTTCGACTTTTTGAACCACCCGGCCGTTTTTTCCGTGTCCCTGGGCATGGACACCGATCTCGAAACGTCGCGAGCTTCGCCCCGCGATCTTCTTGCAATCGATTCCACCGACTGGCTTTTGCTCGTCATTTTTCTCTCGTCCTTGTCCTTAATGTATCTGGAGTTTTCCCGAGGCAGTTTGTCCTTTTTCTTGTAAAGAGTCGATGTGGAACCTGGAAGTTTTCAGTGCAAAATTAGTGTAATACTCTGTCCCTAGCTAGTTGGCAGTGATGCAAATTGTAGCAATTTTATAGCAAGTAAAGAGCCCCACAAGCAGGGATTGATAATCTGTATCTGGTTGTGGATCCGACACTAAACGGCAGAGTGGTAACCACAAAAAGGCGTTTAGAGAGCGATGGAGAAAGCAACGGAAAACTACTCCATTACTCTTCCCTAGTACAGTTTTCATGGCAGTACAATATAAAGATGAAACCACTACTGATCATGGGACTCGGATACCAAGATCCGGTAGGGGAGGATCACAATTAGACCGTCGGGCCTCCCAGGTCGTGAACATGCGAAAACCCGACAACATGAGAAACAGAAAAATAACCCCAAAACAGGTTAAAATCGCTACATGAAATGTACAAAGTATGTACGAAAGCGGAAAAACCCATAACATAGTAAAACAAACGAATATGCTGAATATAGACATTATGGGCGTCAGTGAGACCCATTGGCCCGACTCTGGACAATGCAAGATATTTGATCACACAGTATACTACTCTGGCAATGACAACTCATAACATAGGAACGGAGTGGGCATAGTTGTTTCCCCACGTATCCAACCAACGGTTGGATCTTTCACATCTTTCTCAGACAGAATGATGCTCCTGCAGCTACAAGCCACCCCATTCGACGTCAATGTGATTCAAATATATGCACCAACCGCCGACAAAGACGACGCCGTTATTGAAGAATTCTATGAACAACTAGAACGTTTGATTAAGATGACGAACAAACAG